TTATACAGTTATTATACGGTATAATAACCTGGTTATTATACCACAATTTTAATTATACCGTATAATTCCCATCCCTACTAATACCACAGGTTTCACGATTCTGGCCAATCAGAGGGCAGGATCAGGTGTAACGTGAATAGTATAAGGCGCCTACTAACTCACTAACCCTAACCATTTTATAAAGATGATATGAAACGAAAAATCTTTTTATTTTCTAACCCGTGATTAATTTTAATTGGTCAAATATGCTTGGATCGTCAATGAACATTACGTAATCTGTTTCATCAAAAACCTACGGTTCGTGTAACATACTCGCAGGTTACGAAAGCATTTAACGTTAACGTTAACGTTATTTAAATTTTTAAATTCATGATCTAATCTGTTTAAGCATGAGTCGCGGTAAACAACCTTAATGATTAAGTTTCAAGCTCATATTGCTTAGCCTATAACTCTGAAACCGGCACGTTTCTTTAGGTTCAAGTGCGGGTTATGATCGCCATATCACTATTTTCTCCCCCGAAGGCCGTTTATACCAAGTTGGTATGTTAAGAGAAACAATTCTTTAGATAAATAATTGACTTCTCACTGAGATGCTGTATTCCATTTTTAATAAAATACTTTCCTTGATCTTTATGTACGGTTTCCTAAATGCTTACTACAACAGAATACGCCTTTAAGGCAATATCAAATTCTGGTATAACGACCGTAGGCGTTCGCGGTAAAGATAGTGTGGTCATCGTAACACAGAAAAAGATTCCAGTTTGTTCTACTTCGTTTTCCTATTTTTCAATGATAGTACATATATGGTTTACTATTATTATAATTATTATTTATAGGACAAATTGCTAGATCCATCTACTGTTACGCATATTTTTCAATTAACACCATATGTTGGTTGTGTTATGACAGGCCTGATCGGTATGTTAAGGTTCAATTACTTGCATTAAATCGATGTAATTAACTTACTATCTCATTATTGCATTTAAAAGCTGATGCTCGCGCACAAGTAACTCGTGCGCGACAAGAAGCTGCAGATTTTCGTCACAAATATGGTTACGAGATTCCTACAGACATGCTTGCAAAACGAGTAGCCAATATCAACCAAGTGTATACACAACACGCTGCCATGAGACCTTTGGGAGTTTGTGAGTGTTTCATTTGTTACTTAAATTTTTGAAAAAAATGATAAATCTTACCTATAAATGCTAGCAATGGTCCTCATTGGGTATGACGAAGAGCGGGGTCCTCAACTTTTTAAATGTGATCCTGCTGGTTATTACGTTGGATACAAAGCAACGGCTGCTGGTGCTAAACAACAGGAAGCTTTAAATCATCTGGAAAAGAAACTTAAAAAAGATCCGCAGTTAAATCTCGAAGATACTGTAGAGGTCTGAAATACTTTATTTTTTATTTATTGTTTTTTTTTTAACCAATAGATAATTTTGATTACTATATTAATTATTTTTTGATGTTGGTTTATATAGTTAGCAATCAATACACTTTCATCTGTTTTGTCCGCTGATTTTAAAGCAACCGAAATCGAAGTTGCTATTGTTACTCAAGATGATCCCAAGTTCCGAACATTATCTGTTACTGAAATTGAAGCACATCTTCAACGTATTGTAGAAAAGGATTAAAAGTGCTTATTTTACATATTTAATAAAGAAATGTTTTTTTGATTATTGTGAAATATTTTATTATTAATATCTTTTGACTGTAATTAGTTTGAATAAAATAAATTGTTAGATTAGTCTAATATTATTAGGAAGTTACAGCAATTTACTATTTTGACTATTTTTCCCCAGTATCACCACCAAAAAGTTGCAGCTCCGTGATTATTGGGCAAAAATTTGTGAATAACGGTAATTTGGCAAATGAACACGTGCCGCTTTGCGGCATGTGCAGCCAATCATTTGTTAAATTACCGTATTCGCAAATTTGCCCAATAATTGGTAGGGAGTGGTTGACTGAGGTTTAATTTGAATAAACACATGAAAAAAAAATAACGTGCAGAAATTTATTTATGATCATAACAACTTTCGGTACAGTTTTCTTTCGAACTAGTATAATAATTACTAATTTAAATTTTTAAAAGATAAAGAACTTCGTGTAAGTTAATGTAATAGAGATTTTTTCGATTTTTATACTAAATTCGACGAAAAAAAGCTATTAAAATTTGTAAAACCGAGGTTATTGTTGAAAAGAGCATAATAAAAGCTATCGATTAAAAAAAAATATGGCATAAAAAAATTGAATTTTTCGCTCAAAAAGTGTACCTTTAGTTGTATTAAAAAAGGTATGATTACAATATTCCACATTTATCACTAAATTAAAAAAGTTAATTTTCCGAAAATTCCGAAATTATTAAAAAACCCATAAAACATCCCGATACATATAACCCTAACTATAGTTTAGTAATGTGCGTACGTACGTACGTACGTACGTACATGGACATCTGCGGCCCGATAATGTACTTGGACCAATGTCCAATCAAATCATCGGACATGGACATTTCTCCATGGACGGGTTGTCGATACTAGAGGCCTGCACGGGCCGGGCCGAGATTTGAAAAATTTAAAAATCTCTCAAAATTGCGGCCTGGTGTATCAAGAACATAGTAATTTGCGGGCCGAACTTTTAAAAAACATAGTAAATTTTATTTTGCGGGCCGTGCGGGCCGGCAAAAGTACAAATTTTTAGGCCCATGCAGGTCCCTAGTCGATACTATGTAAATCAAATATATGTATGATCTATAGTAAAATATTATAATTGAAAATTCTTAAAATTAATAAAAAACGCTCTTAGTTTAAAATACAGGTTCTATTGAGCAATCGTGTAAATTTTTTTTTTTTTTTTTTTAATATTAATGGTGAGACCATGTCTCTGTCTTTATTGAAATTTAATTAAAATCTTTTATACAATCGTGTAAATTTTTAAAGTAGTTAATATGTAATTTACAGAGGAAATACAATTTGAAATTTGATAATTTTTCATAATCGTTTCATACGTATAAGATTTTTAAACTTAAATTGTATCTCCTCTGTAAGTTACATATTAACTAGCCTGAAAATTTTACTCAATTGCTCATCAGAACCTATATTTTAAACTAAAAGAGAGATTTTTTAAAGATTTTTTTTGATTAAATTTTTATTCAATTCATTGAAAATAATCTATTTGTCGCCGGCGGTGACAGTATTCGAATTTTATTTATACAGTGCGGGACAGTATAAGATATCCAATTTGTTATAACTTTTTTAAAACAAGTTAAAATAAAGATCTCTCCTTCAAATTTATTGTTTTTTATTTAAATAACAAATCTGAAAGAGGGATTTTTAAAATTTTTGATTTAAAAAAGTAGTTACAATTTAAATTTTAAAAATTTGACGCGTATATATAATTTTAAGAAATTTGATTGGTTAATATTTTTTTTTATCATTATCATGAATTTTTTTTAAAATTTGGCGCATTGGATATCTTATGCTGTCCCGCACTGTAGTTATATTTAAGGTTAGAAATGCCATAATATATGAGTGTCGCTAAAAGAAAACCCGAAATTTAAATATAAGTCATATTTAAATTTTCGGGTTTTCTTTTGGCGACACTCATATAGTAAAATTATGCAAGGAATATTTTTTGTTAAGACACAGAAGTTAATTTCATAGGCATATTCTTGAGTTATTTGGATTTGGAGATTTTGTAACTGCCTGCGACAAATGTATTTTGATTAAGCATTTTATTATAGGTCATCGTAATTGTTGCACAAAAAAATTTCACTAATTATTTTTACTACATATGGACCTATACATATATTTGATCTACATACATGATCGATAGGGATGTTAAAAGTTCAGTTCGGTTCGACTCGACTTCAATGAGTTGAGCTTTTATTAAAGTTCGGTTCCAAGTCTGACTTGGAACTCGACTCGCATTTGCACGTGCATCTTAAACATTTAAATATAGCCCCCAAAAAATGTGTATTTATGCATACTATAATATACAAGATGCACGTGCAAATGCGAGTCGAGTTCCAAGTCAGACTTGGAACCGAACTTTAATAAAAGCTCGACTCATTGGAGTCGAGTCGAACCGAACCGAACTTTTAACATCCCTAATGATCGATAACCAAACCCCAACGATGTGTATGTAATTTAAAATAAAATTACGTATGCAAGAGTTTTGGCCAACATTATTTACGTAACAAAAATTATATACAATTTTGACTTCAGAACTTATACACACTTATGAGAAATTATAGTAATTTTCCAACTTTATATATGAAAGACATGTTACATATAATACTTGTTCTACAGGTAATTTTATCATTATATAAATGAACAGATCTATCTAGGGGAGTTAAAATATCGTGAATATTGATTTCAGCTGCGGTCCATATGTCCTCACACGTAATCGTGCGTGAGCGTATTCATCACAAATATCATCTATTATATTAGATGTATGTTCCAAACCTAACCCAATTTTCCAAAGACCATGTATAAAATAAAGAACTGAAATTTTATCCGACATTTTATAGGGAATTTGGAAGTCAAAAATTTCACAGAGTTGGTTTCTTATATATATTCGCGGACTTCGGGTTCCATGATTGTACTTCAGAATTAAAATTATTCCACGATGAAATATTGTCAGGAAACTTCCTTTCTACAGATTTTATACTTGAATTAGATTTTACAATGAAGTGCCTGTATATATATATATATATAAAAGCATAAATATGAGTAAAAACATTATTAGGAAATATAGAAGAAATTTCACGTTTAATTTTTTTTGGACTCTTAATTATGTTACTATCATTAATGAAATTTTCTTTTTCGTTGGACCTTTTTCGTTTCTGTAATGCAAAAAAAAAAAAAAAAAAAAAGGATGTGAGTCTATCCAATTCCTTGTACAGAATCAACAGGCCTTCATCAAGAAGCTTCAATCAAGGAACTCATAGCGAAAAAATGTGTGCACGTCGCAGAAACTCCATGCCTGGACGCTCTTCTTCCCTCAACCCAGCAGGTATACAGGGCGTAGCACACTAGCTATGCTCGTTAATATTTCACATTCAAAGAACATGTGAAATACTAACCTTTAGGTTTAAAAATGTCTTTTTAAAGCTAAGGCTTTATCATGTATACCAGTTTTCGGTTCAAGCTTTATTTTGATATTTGTCAGCATAAAAATTCTCCTACGTAATGAATCCCAATGTTGTGTATGGTCTTTCCCAATAAGAATGAACATGTTTAACGACTTCTGGTAACATTGTATTAAAGAACGCGTCTGGAGAAGATGATAAAGTTTTCAAAATATTTTATCAGAAAAAATCGAATTTGGAAAAAAGTATGGAATCTTAAAATATTTTATAAACATGAAACGCGAAAAATTCAAAAACTACAGAATAACTTTTTAATCACTTTTATTTTAAGAATATGACGCAATCATGATGTGAGATAAAAATGCGTGAGAAAATTTACTAGTTACTAGGAAAATGTGTAGCATTGCAGGCCAAAAAATTTTTTAAACCCAAACCCAATAAAACCCGGGCCAGGTTTCTTTTTAAATTAGCAAGTGATACAAATTCAAAAAGGGAAATTAGCTACAGAGAACGCAAAATGTGATCCAGGATTAGCCCAACACGTGAGCGAAGCGAATAAAAACACGAAAAAAAAACGAAAAAAGTGAAAATACAAGAAACTGAGTATTTAAACCTGCCTTTGGTCACTAATTAAAAGTGATTGAAATAAAATTTTACATATAGAAAGTAGAAATTGGAACCGGTTTTAATAATTCGGGTTTATCACATGAATTTTGGGATATTTTAGAATTTAATCCAATTAAAATTTAATAAATTCTAAAATATCACAAAATTCACGTAATAAACCCGAATTA